GGGTGTTCCTAAAGGACCTCTTGGACCCACATACGTAAGTAAGGGTCCAGTTTGATTCATGGTTAACGCTGGTATGGATCCAACAGAAGTTGGGATATTCCCTTCGACAACAGTAGTAACTGCTGTTCCTGTGATCGGTGGAGGTATTTCTCCATGGTTTGGCTCGTTAGCCATACTACTCTCTCCGTTTTCTTTCCTAACAGTATATTTGTTGGTTATTCTACCACTTCGTAATAACATGCAATGTTATAACTGTACAGGAAAAAACACAATAACATTGACAATTAGCAACGTCCCACTGGGCGTGCCAATTTGTTTACCGTTGTTTTTGGTAAACAACCCCTGGTCTCCAAAAAGGTAAGTTTTTGGTTTACTTGCGGGATCGACCAAACTAATCCCAGAACATATGCTAATCTTTATGTAAAATGAGTAAGAAGGAATAACGCACGTCCGACCCAGGGGAGAGATGTTTAAGATTGTTGAACAGTAAATAAAAGCATAAAAATGCAAGTAAAATAAGTAAAAAGATAACTTTGCAAGAAAGACTTTTATTAAGTAAAAAAGGTGTTTCTAACGTACATTGCTCTGCTTTTTATCCTTTCTCACGTAGTAGTTACTTGGATAATATTTGAGAGATTTAGTACCAGAAGTTGAACACCCCTTAAAAATTACACAAACTTCTTAATTTATACTAAAAGTAGGTAACCGTTGAGGGGACATTCCGTGCTAGGATGAAGACAAGTGTCTTCTGCATGCCTCTCGACCCATAGCTTTTTACCACGTTCTCTTCCCTTAGATGCTGATGAAAACCACCTTTCCCTCCAATAATTCAAATTTCAAATGGTCTTCGTCCCATATGCCAAGGCGCGAACACTTTCCTTCAGTCGAACAACCTAAATCTGCTTCAGTCGAATGAACCTTTGATCGAAGCTTCTTATCATAACTTGGATCATTTTCCTTAAGTTATCTCATGCGTCGAATTATACCTCCTGGTTTAGTTCATTCCAGTTGTTTGGTCCAAAAGACCAAATGCAGTAAGTGTCGAATTTAGGAGCTAACACACCGCGAGAGTTGTTGTATATGTATTGATCATGGCGTTGTATAAAATCTCTTTTACTAATCTATATCAATGTTGTTCTTGTTTCCTTACTTTAATGTTTGGATTTGATTCACTATAGACATATACTCTTCAGATCCGGATTTAGGATGAACATCTATTAAGTGCTAAGCTCTAGAAATAAATTTAGATCTAATATTTGCATGTGGGTATCGATGCTTAATGCTCCGTGTTGGTTAGTTGCGTGAGACATCATCGATGAGACAATACAGTAGAACTCTCATAGGTGCTTCAGACATGAACGCTGATGTGAGGGATACATGATGATATTGATGAGTATTTTAGATTGAGTACAAAGGATCGGTAGATTTAAGTCTTTGATGGATAGATGAAATCCAAAACTTGACAAGTTCTCTCTTCTCTAAGAATGCATTTATTTTCTTGTTCATAATTTTACTTTTTGCACTTTACTCTTTTACACCCATTCAAAACCAAGCTCAGAAACATGGAGACTGTTGAATGGAATTATTTCCCACACACTAATCCATGTTGGAGACGATAAAACAAAACTGAAAATACTTACTTTTACTTGCTTCTTTACCGCAACAACATCCACAGAAGAAACCAACTGCACATCGCATGAAGACCAGAATGAGAAAAACACAAATATGCATCATTTGTTGCTACAAAATGCAAAATCATCTTAAACTTTCTTTATACTTTATTGTTATAAAAAGAAAAATCAAAGCAATTTATCAAACATATAAATTATGCGTTATTATGTGGTTGCTGGAATCAGATTTTTCAATTTTGTGTTTTTGTATGTTTCAGTGTTGTTGTTCTCTTCTATTGAATTCTTGAGCAATTTTATGTGGTTGTTGGAATCCTATTTTTTATTTTGTGTTTTTGCAGTGTTGTTGTTGTCTTCTTCTATTGAATTCTGGAATAATTTTATATGGTTGTAGAAATTAAATTTTTGATTTTGCATTTTTGTATGTTTCGTTGTTGTTGTTGTTCTTTTATATAGAATTATGGAACAATTTTACGTGGTTGTAGGATATAACAAAATACCACATAAATGGGTCCCATTTAAAATTACTTTTATGTTATTAAGGTTTCAATTTTGATTAAAAAGTGATGGACTTATGTAGAAGATGATGAGATATTCATTGTTGTTGCTTTTTTCTGGGTTGATGAATGTGATGAAGTGTTTTATGGGTTTTTCTGGGTCGATGAATGTAATGAATGTGTTTTCTAGGTTTGGAAATTTTAGGTTTTTCTGGTTCATAAAAAAATGAAGAAGATGAAGACTACATGCCAGCTGGTAGCCACACATGCAAAAATAGACACCATTAGTGAAAACTGGACGAAAATGATGCATGTGACACAGTTTGAAGAAATAAGGGACTAACTTGGTCTTTTTAAAAGTTCAAGGACCAAAATGGACCCCGGGATATAGATAAGGGACGAAAAAGGATATTTAGCTAAAAATAAAGATCGTAAGTACGGGCACGCGATTGTGATTTTACTCACCATTACCTACATATTTTTGGTTTGAAAGCTCAAGGGTTGGGAAAATGAACCCTCAAACAAACACCTTAATGTCGATATTGATGGGTGCATCTTTCCCATCTGCATCAGTGTCGATCTCTGAGTTTCTAACTGCCAGAGAACTTATCACTTTGGTAATTTCTATATCTTGGTTCCTAACGCTAGCAAGCCTCCTAATTTTTACAAAATTCACTAATGAATTTTAATCTCACCTGACGACACTTCTAAATCTTCCATATCTATCATTTATGTCCCGTTTGAGAGGACACATCACTAGGTTCATTGTCACTCTCCAATTTCATCAATGGGACACCAAACTTTCCTATAATAGTAATACCCATAAAGTAAACACAAAACAAGTGAAGTGATAAAAGAGAGATTGTTACCACAAAATACTTGTAGATTTTGAAGAACGAGGAAGTAGAATCACCAGAGTCTGATAAGGTACTTCATAACATGGAAAGGGGACCGAAGAACACAAAAGATTGTAGGAAATCAAAAGTGGTAGATAAGACAAAGAGATTAACACTTTGAAGTGAAGGAAGAAAAATGAGCAATTGAATTCACTCCATTGATATATAGGAAACTAGCGGCATCATGATGTATGGTCAATAATCGAGGAAATATCAAAAGACACGATCAACGGTCCAAATCTGACCTTGGTTCCATAACGATACTCGAATACACTCAAGCACTCTAAGCTTTTCGCCTCCCTACCCTATTTGTGTAGGTTCACGTGGAAGCCACCCCCAAAGTAACATTCCAATGACAAGACAAGAATTTAAAGTGTGTGTTCCCTGGGCCATCGACTCTCATTCAACTTATCAGCAATCTCTTCCATTTTGTGGAGAACTCTTCCACAACGAATAACTCATTACCCACTTGCAAATTCCTCCTTCGTGACTTCACTAACTTGAACGGTGGAGTGTTAACTTTGTAGGTACACCCCTTTTCTGTCCACCGAAGACCTCCACAACCATGTTGGAGGCCTTTTATTGTGGACTTCACTAATATGCTACCAAATTTATGTTCCACGTCGAAATAATAACCTTAGTTTAATCACCACTGATAATCGAGTATGAATTGTGTTCCACTCTATTAGCTAATATCCAGCTCAAAAATAATACTAAAAAACTCTAATTTTTGTACTTTATCTTGAACCCAATTCAATATATCATCTTGAATACTATTTTTTATCAAGTAAAATTTTTTCTAAGATGAAGAGATTCATCAATATATTTAACAATGTTATATTGAGTACTATTTTTTATCAAGTAAAGTTTTTTTTATGATGAAGAGACTCATCCATAGATTCAACAATGTCATATTTCAAATGAAAATAAGACCCTTCATACCTTAAATGCTATAAGGAATATGAAAAAAAAAAAAGACCATATAATGTAATAACAGTTCAGATTATTCAATTCACCGATTTAAATAATCTTTCACATGCATGAATTATCATATCCAAAAGTTCCTTACATATTCGAAACGAGTAATCTAAACACTCACAATTAATATGAAGAAAAAAACAACAACCCAAAACGAGTAATTTGAACACTGACAATTAATATGAAGAAAAAACAATAAGGAGAAAAAGGAGTGAGATTTAAAATCACATTACTTCAGTAATCACTAGAAAATATGTCAGCCGACTTTATGAATGATAGAATAAAGTTACAATAGATTTGAGTGAGAAAGAAAAAAGATAAGATTAGGTCAAAATTGATAATAAAAAAAGAGTATATATTTTAGGCTTTAAAAGCAATAGAGAGGGGTAAAAGCAGCACTCAATTCTTAATTGCACAACATGCCTTACAATCTTTGGTGATTTTTTGTAATACAATGAGGTTCATGTTTAACCATATAATTTCCTAAAAGTATAAAGTTTCAATTTCAACCACAAGCTATATTTAGCCAGCCCCCACCTAAATCTTGAATAAATTAGGCGGGCAAGTTGGTTAAGTAGGCCATTTGTTTCAAAATTTTCTGCAACTTTTATATGTTTTACTACACTCTTCGTAACACTGATGATACCTCTAAAAAAATGCATGTATATGTTATTGATATCTGAAATTAATACCGACAGTTTAATGTGTCAATGTGTCAATGTCATATTTTCCGTGATTCAGAGCTACAACACAACTTGATAAGGATGTATAATTTGCAATGCTTTTTTACTCTTTTGTTTCATGTACAATTGGAAAAAGCTTTAGTAACTCTCAAAATCTACACTACAACATACATTAACTAGGACTAAAATTAAAACAAACAAAAAAATTGACAAACTATAAGGAGGGAACATGAACAAATTTCAGAAACATGTTACATATAAATCACAAAATACCCTCCACAACTAATGTGCATTGAACACTTTCCAAAACTAAGCCCATCAAGAAGTGTCTTCTACAAAAACTCTGAAGATGAATTCGCGAAACCGTCTCGAGTATAACCTTGGATCAACGGCCGAGATCGTGGTTGCGTCGTATTGGAATGATTTGTAAGCATGCTCAAGCTTTTTACTAATATCATAGTCTTGTAATATGTCTATTATACCGAAAAAGATTATGATTTCGTATGTGTCCCCTGTTGGTTCTCCAACCAACTGAGGCGTGTCGCAACTTTTCCGCGTCGTCATTTCGGCTCGTGCTGGCATGTTTATACCTAACTGAATCCACCTGAAAAATTGAAACAATGTTCAAAATTTTCAGAAAATGTTACCATTATTTAGTTACAACTTTTGCAATTAAGTGGTTAATGGTTATAGACTATACCGGCTAGGATCGATCACAATACGATCCATGTCTACGCCTGAAAGACGGGGAGCTCCATCATCGAAGTTACCTGTCATACAAGTTAATGGATTCAGAAAAGAAAAATGGCGTAGAGAATATAAAAACTAAGAAAATCATTATAAGACAGGACATAACCGGTTGGAGTGTGAGCGCCAGAATTGCGAGAAGGTGTACCGGCTTCACTAGTACACGACAATCCTCGAAAATGAAGACCTACCAACATACTGTAATCCATGATTCTTTCTTGTTCGAGAAAGTCACAATCTCTATCCACTTGCCTGAATGAAGAAATGTTAGAATATGAACTATCTGATCTTAATCCAACGGTTTAGACAATGTCTGCATGAACTATCGCTTGATCGACATGCACATGATGCCGAGTGAGAAAAAATGTGATAAACAAGTACCTGTGGAATTCTTGAAACCAAGCCTTTCGCAGCCGGAATATATAATTTAAGTCCAGATCCTTGAGCGTCGTTGTAGGCTCTATTTCATCCTCGGCTTTATCAGTTGTACGACCAAACGTTGAACCTTTCAAGTCAAAACGTCTGTGAATGGCGTATTGCGAACAAAATAGGTTTCCCATGATGACGAAACGAACCTGAAATTCATTAAATGATGTCGGGTTATTATAAGTTCTTTTGTCAAAGTAGAAGTTCATACAAAAAGACATTACCTTTTTCTGTGAAGCTCCTGGTAGTTTAACGCAATGTAGGCCGAAGAACTTGGTGACTAGAGTGTTCTCGAACGCTCGAACGTGTTTGTAGTAACCGGGAAGCATTCGTAGAAAAACCTGCAATCATTTTAGACAGTTCCAACTGAAATATCATTCAGTAGTACATTAATAAAAAGACAAAAATAATGATACTACAAACTTAGCGCAGTTTCGTTCGACTAAGTTAAGAAAACTTGGAACTATAGGAGATTCACAAAACCTTAAGGCCAGCTAAGAGGGAACTCACTTTTACTTCTGATTTCTTCATGGTTTTTATCATGTATCGATCATCGTTGGTCAAATAAAAAAAGCTTCCACTTTTTCCCGGGGACGAGAGCTCTCGAAGTGCGTCATTTCCACATAACGATATCATGTAATCGGCTGGATCTACTTTGAACAATTTTCTTAGAGCCCTGCAAATATAAATGCAATGAAGCGTTACAATCAGTGAATTCGGATAAGCATTGACAACATTTTAAACTAAATAGAGCATCACAGAACAATAGCGATTTGTTCATATTCTTCCGCGCCAACGCTATTGAACAACATTGGCTAAAAGAACAAAAACAACTTTGCATCAAAAGCTTACCTGAACACAACTGGGCAATAGTCTTTCCATCGAAACTCGCATGACGGGTGAGGTGGTGTGTGCTTCGATCCTTCCGGTGGAAACTTGGTCCATACTTTTTCTTTCGGATCGAACGCAGAAGACTTCAAATCAAGAGATGTACTTGGAGCAGGTCTTCCAACAGCATGTCTGTGCTATGGCACAAGAAATTAATAAAGGTGTGATTAAAATTAGAATCAAGGAAGAAAAGAAATTTAAGTTTTCCATATTGACATATTAATCATTGCACTATAGAATCAAGTCTCAAAATCAATTATAGATCGCTAACTTCTGCGGTAGAATAGAATCAATTCTCAAATATATTGGCACACAAAAGAAACTCTGATAGAAATCATTCAAACATAAATAACTTTACGTACAACTGAAGTAAACTAAAACCAGTTAAAATCAATTTTCGATGCGGTAGAACCAAACACTAGTACTAAACTTAAAATCAACCTAAACATGAAAAATGAGAGAAAATGACATAAAAAGTAAGAAACTATGATAAGTACCTGATACCTAGCTGCAAATTAAGCATGAGTTCATAGTTCTTATGTCCTTTGGAAATAGTCTCTCCTTGTCTCTTAGGAGGCTTTAATCTCAAATTGGGAACTCGTGGAATGGAATGATCAATCATAGGACTCCTTGATCCATCATAACTACTATAAGAACCATCTTCAGAACTATAATTACTCATCCTTTCATCTCCTAAATTCCACTTAGGCTTTCCATTAGCATCAAAAACTTTCCTGGATGACAACTTTTTATTACTACTATCTTCCTCTAAACCAAACATGTTCAAATTCTTCTGCGAAGGAAAAATGGAAACTTTCTCTAAAGTACAAACAGAAGAATCAAGCAAATCAACCGTAAAAAGGTCCATCGGTTTCCAATCGGGAGGATTATCATCAGAAGGATCATCATCAGAAGAAGGATAATAAGTACCAGTTTGTTCATTCCCATCTTTACTCCAAATACCTGCAAAAAAACTACCATCACACCATCGAAACGTACCGTTTCCCTTAGGAAAACCATCTTCCCAACAACCATCATATCTATTCCCATTTTGCCACATCAAAGTACCATTTCCATTACACAAACCATTCATCCATTGACCAATGTAATTATTCCCATTCTTCCATTGATACCTCCCATGTCCATTTTGCAACCCCTTCTTCCATTCACCATCATAGAAATCACCATTACAATAACTCTGTGTCCCTTGTCCATTCCTCATATCCATAACCCAAAAACCTTTATAAGTATCACCATTAGAACCTATATAAGTACCTTTACCATCCATAAAACCATTTTTGAAATCACCTTCATAGGTAGCACCACTAGGCCAACTAAACCTACCTTTACCTATGATATTACCCTTTTGCCATTCACCTACATACATACAACCATCTGTCCATAGATACTTACCTTGACCATTTGGAAAACTGTTCAGCCATTGACCTGTATAGAAATCACCATTGCTGAGAATCTTCTCAACCTGGTAAACATCATCGTCAACATGGGCAACAGACATTGGTGTTGTGAAGATTCTGTTGGCCCTTTTCTTTGGTCCAGCTGATTTTCTAACTGCTGCTTCCCAAACCTTCACAATGCTGTTAAACTCTTTGTTCATTGATCCTTTTACCTATAAAGATTACAACTTTCCACACACACCATTCAACCCTTCAATGCCTTTTCATACATAAGACTAAAGTTGCAGAAACCATTTCTGCAGGAGGAAAATCTTAACCAAAATAACCAAACCAAACCCAAAACCAAAGTTTGAAACTTTTCCTCGGATTTTGGTTCCTTGTTTGGTTTTGAAAAATGGGCTGTGTTTAGATTTTGATGAAAGAAACAGAAACTTGTGCTGTTAAGATTGACAGGGAAAGCAGGAAAAGGTTGGTTGGAACCAGTAACTGGCTTTTGTTTTTTCTTTTCTCTGTCTTTTTTTTTTTGGGTAATATTTTTTAATGTTTTAATTTTAATTTTATTCTCTTTTTGTTCTTTTTTTTCTTTGCTTTTTGTTTGTTTTCTTTCTTTAGGTGATTTCGACCAAAGAGATTCAACTCAACATTCTATTGATTCCGAATTTGGCTCCTAAACTTAATACAAACAAGACAATTTGAAGATTGAAATTGTGGTGATGAGGTTGTCAATGCCATTTTTAGCAAATTTAATATAATCCTCTTAATTAATTATATATATAATTAAACAGCTAAAAACAAGATTAAAATAAGGGAAGAAATTTTTACGTGATTAAAGAATAAAAAATATATAAATTTTAAATAATTATCTTTCTTTTTGTTTTGCGCATCTACTAACAAAAAAAAAAAAACTCATTTTATATTACTAGGTAGTATCAATTGACTTTGGCATTTTCATAGAGCCAAAATACTTAACTATTAAAAAGTGTTCCTTTATGTCATGCAAGTCATTACTCATAAGCCAATAACATAATCTTGTTAATATCTTAAACTTGTAAAGATGAAACTGTCCAATCTATTGTAAAGCAAGTTAGGCAAATAGAGTTTTCAAAAAAAAAAATGTATAATGCTTTTTTTCATATGGAATTTACTAAAAAGCACTGAATTATTTTATTTATTTTTGGCATATTGTAATTAATGAAGGTGGCTCAAATGCATGATAACATATTTAGAAAAACATGTGAGCCACTATGTGTTGGTAAACTACCTAGCATCAAATTACAGATTTTCGGAGGTTTGGGCGGTGATGTCTATAGTGGTTCACTATATTTAGAAATTTCTTTGAATTCATAATATATAAAAACTTTTAATTTTAGTGGTTCCAAATAAAAACAATTTATTTTGTTTTATAAAAAAATTACAAATTAGTTATTTTTTAAATAGTTAATGTAAAAAATATTTTATGATATAAATGATCTTTTGAAACAAATTAAATTTAAGATATAGCTATTTTGAAATAAATTTAATTTAAATATTTATCTTTTTAAATTAATGTAAAAAACATTACTAAATAGTTCTACTTTTTAAAACTCATAATATTTTATAATATAATATATCTGAAAGTTCTTTTATTTTGATTTATATCACTATTATTAATAATAATTTTGTCCTCACCTATTACTTTAAAAAAAAAACAATACATCTCTACATTCTTTCATATACAATAATCAAAGCAAAAAAAATTCTTAAAGATGGATTTGATAGAAAGTATCAATATAATCGTATTTTCTCAAGTATAATCATTAGACTTTTTTTGGTTATTTTGTTCGCTTCGCATTATATTCTTTCAAGTATAATTATTGGATTTCTTTTGGCTATCTTGTTCGCCTTGTTTATTGTTGAATATGGATGATAATGGATAGGATATGGATAAAGTATTATAGTATCCGTCTTATGGTTGTAAAAAATCTCTATATTTGAATTCATACTCGCTTGGATAATAAAATTAGTATCCATATCCGTGTCTTCTGGGCATGTAAATATCCATACCCGTATCTATTACCCGCATTTTTAATAAAAAAATAAATATATAAAATATAAAATATCATATTATTTTAAGTTGTTAACAATATTTATATTGATATATTTTAGAAAATTGATAAATATTTATTTTAATATAATAATATAAATTAAAGTATAACTATATATATTGTGCGTGTATGGGGCGGAGTGGGTACTAAGGTGCCTATACTCCCACTCATACCTATTTATTTAAGTGAGTAATTACTCGAACTTGTACCCGTATCCATTTGTGTGGATTTTTACCCTATCTATTATGGGAATTTTTATAGATACCCACTAGAGATGGGTAGGGATGGCAACTGAGCGGGTCGGGGCGGTTTTAAGCACACCCAAACCCGTATCCGTCACCCAGACCCGCCCCCACCCTCAAACCCGACCGGGGCTAATATTTGTTCCCCCGCCCCGCTCCCAATAAGAAGGGTTTTCTCGCACCCGCCCTACACCCACTCGAATAAAATTTTAATTTTTTTTTAAAATTTATACTTTTTTTCAATAAAAATAAAAATCAATAATTAAACTAAATAATTAATTATTTCAAAAGCATTTTTTATGTTTTGATATTTTTATTTAAATTGTATTTTCAAAAAAAAAATAATAATTCTAATAAACATGATATTATAACATCAAAAAGTACAAATAAGTAATAAAACCGTTAAAAATAAATGAAATAAATTAAGTTTAGTTGGCGGGTGCAGGTGCAAGACGGGTACTAGCATCACCCCGCCTCTACCCTGCACCCGCACCCGTAAATAAAAACTGGGTTTTTTCCACACCCGCATCCGCCCCAGTTAAATCGAGTTTCCCCCATTAATTTCGGGGCGGGGGCGACCAGAGCCTGACGAGGGCGGATTTATTTTCCATGCCTAGAGATGGGTCAAATTGTCATCCATATTGTTGAGTGTGTACACATCTCTGATTTTAATCTAACCATTCAAATTTTTTACTCTATGACACTGCCCCACATTCATCACTTACATACTCAATTCTATCATAACATCATCATTGAGCTTACTAACAAAAGTCTTAGTTTCAATTCCAATACATAAGATATCTTTATTTAGTGTTATCACATCAATGGTACTTATACTATTAAGAATGGTTATTCTTCGATTTCTAAGATAAGAAAATTTACATGATCTTAATTTGGAATTTCAATCATGGCTCATCCTACTAGAAAAGATCATGCTCTTCTTTTAGCTTGCATGTTACAACTTTGTTCCAACACTATCTACTTTATCATTACACAAGGGCGGATCAGATATTACATGTTGATATGGTTAAATATGAACTAAATTATATTGAAAATAAAAAATATTATTATTTTATAAAATACATTTACAATAAAAATCGTCAATTATCTTTTTTTTTTAAATAAGCTAAAGTAACATCATGGTTAATTGTTTCAAGAACATATCTTTCTATAAAAATGATAAGACGATTATTTAACCATTGATCACTCATTTTATTACATAGTTGTCTCTTCACAAACTTCATAGCTGAAAATACATGTTCCACGCTTGTAGTTACTACTAGCAAAACTAAAGCCAACTTTAAAAGCTTATAAATCATATCAAATGTGTTGCACTTATTTGTTTCCACAAGTTTTTCCTAAAGACCGAAAAGTCCTTTTAATTTTACAAATTTTGGGTCATATTAAACATTTCTAACATAATTATAAAGTTGATGTCGCACCATCACTTCCAACATATCTATAAAATCATTTGGATAAAGTTCAACCATCCTCAATAATTATTTTCACATCAAAAGCTCCAAGTGACAATGAGGGACTCAAACATGAAACACATTGTAAAAGTTCAGTAATTTCTTCATCAAGTCTAACATTGAGCTCATGAAACTGCAAATTTGACACATTAAACAAACAATCATGTTTATAATGATGCAAATTAGAAACACTAAAAGTTGTAGCATTTCGTCCAGACTTCTTCACATACGGTGCATCCATATCAGGCACGTCAATATCAATGCTTATTGCAAATTTCCATAACCTTAGATATAAGTTCTTCCCATCCATCATTCCTAATTTCTTGTAATTATTATTTGGTAGCATTGACAAGTTATAGAGCATTCAAAAGATCTTGTTCACACTTTTGTAGCACTACACTCAAATCATTTGAAAATCCTAAAATCTCAACCATCATATATATCATTAAGATAAAATCAAAGGAGTGAAGCACATCTAGCAAAAACATAGTTTCACCATATTTTTTAAATGATGTATCTTTCCCGACTTCTTCAAGTACCCCAATAATGACACCATACAAATTCATCAAACTAATGAGAGTCTTAAAGTGAGAACTCCAACGAGTGTCACCCCCTCTATAAACAAATTATTCTTGATTTAATATACTACCAGTCTCTATCAGGCCATCTTCAATCAATTTAGAAAACTAAGTTATTGTTTTTCCCGAAGCGATTCATGTCTCTTGTTAGAAGATTGTATGATATTAACAAGTATATTGACCTTATCGAAAAAATCATTAACATCTTTGTGAGTATTAGCACATGCAACAAGTGTTAATTGAAGTTGAAAATGCACATAATAGGCATATGGGTTCTCATTTTGGAATAAAGTTCTTAAACCACCCAACTTACCTCACATATTACTAGTTCTACCATACCCTTTCTCCCCGGTGATAGATAAACTCAATCTTTTAACATACAACAACTTCTCAAGTGCATTTTTAAGTGACTTAGAACTGAGTTCTTTAACACTTACAATACCAAGAAAACTTTATTTTACCAAACCTCCATTATTAACATAATGAACAACAACAACCATTTGTTCTTTACCAACAACATCACCAGATTCATCAATCAAAACACAAAACACATTATCTAAAATATCACATATAATTTGTTGAGTTATTTAACATAAACAAGTAGCAACAAGATTATTTTGTATCTTAAGGACAATCATAAAGTTATTTCCCGGAACACAATTTATTACACTGCCTATCTCTGGGTTAATTTTATTTTAGAGTGTGCACCAACTAAAGAAACGACCCTTTAAATAAAGAGTTAAGAGACTCATCACTCCTTCTAAGTGGCATGCCACACCTCAAAAGAAACTTAGTAGTTATAAGAGATGTGTTTACACGAACAC